TAAGTGTAAAACTTGGGCACTGTGCTCCAGTGTAATTCCATTTTAGTCTGTTTATTAGAAATATCATACACAGTGAAGGAACACAGTAGCATTTACTGGATAACGTACTTTTCGGACACAATTTAGTCTCCATATTCATATCAGGCAACTAACTCCACAACTTCGACACAGTCTTTATATATTCTTAATTCATTCTCTCCTTCTCTGTGATGACAAGGGTAGTAGAATTTTCCATATATCTGGGATAGGTGCAGAATCCTTTCGATTGCCGCATGTATTTGGTGTTGATTCGATAAACAAAGATTCAGTCGGTTATCAATCTCTCCCTCCACCCAACTAAGATAGTTTTCAACACTGTCGCCTTATCCCACCCCACTGTGTGACTGATTGTGTGTCATCGCATGCAGAGTGGATTAGAATAACACAGCACAAAAACTTGAAACAATTAGTCCCTTTAATAAATCCCGATAACGCTATTAGAAGACGAAGATTATCTGAAAAATACGTTAACGTTAAGTTAAATCAAGATTAGTAGATCCTAACAAGATAATAAATCTGGAGAAAAACTCGGCTATAGCTGTGCATGCTATGACACACAATCAGTCACACAGTAGGGTGAGATAGGGCGATAGTTTTGAAAACTAACTTAGTTGGGTGGAGGGAGAGATTAATAACCGACTGAATCTTTGTTTATCCAATCAACACCAAATACATATGGGAATCGAAATCATACTGCACCTGTTCTACTATCCTTGTCATCACAGAGAAGGCAAAAAGAGAATCTCATAACTTTATTTTAAAGCATTTCATTGATTATGATCACTCACTGAAATGCAGAAATCAACTTCTTCGAAATAACCCTAAGTCATGGCAATTTATAATTTTCAAGTCTAAACTCTGTCTTCAAAACACGTTTTTCTAGTCACTTGATTTGCAGTCGAGAAAATCTTCTCCTTCACATCTTTGCTTACATACTTTCACATTCCATCGAGTTCTGATTCCATATTCAACATTCAACAATTCTTCGAACTAGATTACATCATTTAACTTGGTAACTAGGTATTACATCGATTCTGGTAAGTTTTCTTTCTCCATATTATTCCTTTTTCCTATCTACTGATTTATCCTAATCAAAATTGAATCACACTCAAAAAGAATACTTCATCAAACCTTTTCTTTGTCCAAAGTGTCATTACTATATCATACCATTGTTGATTGGACTGAATTGAAACAAAGGGAATATCGAGGCATCTGCATACAAACCCACATATCAATAGACACCGATCAATTAGGTTCAATCAACTACAGTATGATATGAAAACTATACCTATCGCACAAGAAGTGACTAGCATAGCTCGGTGGTCTAGTACATAAGGCTCTGGCGTTTGAAGTGATCGGTCCCAAGTTCAAATCCCGGTGAGAACAGCATCACTCACTGGGAAGCAGGAACATTCAGCTACCGAGTCCCAAATTGCACGAAACACATCTCTCTCCTTTCTGTCACCATGTGAATCGAATAATACTAGTATATGCGACTGTGCAGATTGACAAGGATACCGATGGAAACAGTGACTCTTCGTTAAACATCTATTGTTCTTTGATAACTTAAGCGAATTCTTAGACTAATTAGACTAATCAACTACATAAGTGTAAGACTTAGGGACTGTGCTTGAATGAAATCGCATATTAGATTTGTTCATTTAATATATAGCGCACACTAATACAAAATAACTTACTTGATGACGCTTCGAGCAGAAATTATCACCCTTCATCATCATATCAATGTGTAATCACACTACTTTCCATATCTGTTTTCTATAGTCTAGTCGCCTCATATTCTTTCTTCCTGTTCGTAGGAAAGATTTACATATCTCTTGCTTACATAGGTGTTGCATCATTCCTGTTACACATGTACTGGGTATTGGTTGATTTGATGAACAAAGATTCAATAATAAGTCTCTCCAATGTATTATATTCAACTCCAGTGGGATACAGTGGTTTTATCCCATCCAATTATGTCATTGTGGCTGTTGATGGCTGTATTGCAATAGCCGAGTGTTTCATCTTATTCGGGTCTGTCAGTCTACATTTAGCTAAATTCCTATGTTCCCCTATCCTAACTCACCCTACCAGTTAATTTCACCTCTGTACTTCACCTCACTCACAGTCATTACATGGGATTTCATAGATTAGATTATTCTGCTTAATTGGTTCTATCGATTCCTTAAACCAGCTGACAAACCTTATCTCTAAATCAGTTTGTAGGTTTGCATGCCACCTGAATCCCAAACAGACTTGTTAACAATCTTGCATGCAGTTTCTCATCTTCCTTCCTTCCTTATAGGGTAACACAACAGGAGCTTTCAACTGCTTTCAACTCCTGTTGTCACAATCATTCGCATTCTCATTCATATGAGGATAATTATGAATTATTAACACTTCGTTTATATGCTTCACTTCCTTGTTTAAGTTGTTCCACTGACTAGTCAGGGCACACCTCCTCATGTGTGTGTGTGCTTGAATTTGATTGAGTCCACTACTGAGTTGATATTATGCATGAGGTAAGTGTCGATATGTTGGGATTTGAAGACAGTGGTGAATGTGTCATTCATATATCACCATCATATGTTAGGTGGAGGATTATACGTTCGTAAAGTCGTGTTAATCTAACTCGCCATGAATAGATCTGCTACTAATGAGGATCGATATCACCTCTGATTAGGGGTCGTTCAAATTCTCTACTAGTCGATTCTTATGAGTTGAAACTAAGGCCTAATGACGTACACATAGAAGAGAGTTGAAAAACGTTTAGTCTGGACGTAAAACAAGTCTTTATAGTAAAATAACATAACATCAACTCAGTAGTGAACTTAATCCAGTTCACACACACACACACACACACACACACACACAAGGAGGTATAAAATGAACAAGCAGAATTACCTACCTGCAGCCTGTTCTGCTTCACTTGCAAGTGCCGTAGAAGAGTCTTTTGTCTTTCCATGCACTCTTCTTCACTTCTTTGTGCAGTGCAGTGTTTTAAACGTTGGACTCACTTCCTCTTTTCGTTATTCATCCATGCACTGCACTGGTTCATCTTCTGCTTCACCATCTTCCTCTCCCTGTTCTATCACCTTCCATATGTCCCTCGAGATCCACTCCTTGCCCTGCTTCTTCTTCTTCTTCCTTCCTAATACGGTTATGCAGCTTCTTTCCACATGGCTTTCAAAGAGTTCCAGTGTTCTTCCACCCAGGTTTCTTCACGGATGTTGCTTAATATCTCCCATTTTGTCCTGATGGCCGACTGCGTGAGGATGTTCTTTGTGTTTTGGTCCTTCAGTTCACATTTTGTTCTGGATGTTCAACTTGAACTATGGTCTATCACCAAATTCTTTAAAGGATTTCAACTTGATTTGGAAGGTCCCTTGCACTAGATAGTGAGTGGGGTGAACCTACATCTCCTCCCTTCTTCATCTGATCTTGTGTCCAGTAGGTTGCGTCTCCATCTTCTTCACACTCAGATGAAGTCGATCTGATTTTCAGTGTACTGTGTCCATCTGGTGCAGTCCATGTCGCTTTTTGAATATCATTGTGTTTGTACACATTGCCTCCAATCACCGGGTCATTAAATGCACAGAAGTCTGCAAACAGTTCTCCGTTCTCATTCATTTCACCGAGTGCCTCTCGACACATGATTGATTCTCTTCCTATTTTGTCTGCTGCTAGTTTGGCATTCATGTCACCCCACCGATTAGAATGCATTTGATGTGGCCAACTCGGGTGGGGGTCTTGTTCATTAGTGATTGCAGTTGTCTGTAGAATTCATCCTTCTTCTCTTCATCTGCATTATGTGTAGGTGGATAGCGTAGCATTGTATGATTGTGACTTTCCTTCCTTTTGATTTGAATCTTGCTGTGATGATCCAGATCCTGCAGAAGGAGACTGGTTCGCACTGAATAACAGTGACCCTTTGATGCTCTTGGAGATATTATGACAGTCACTTCAAAGATATCACTAGAAATTGAATGAAAACTGCTGTTTTATTTCTTGAATGTCAAACTGCAAAAGTGACTTGACCAGTCAGAAGTGAAGTGGATGCTAACTGAAGACCTTGGTTGACAGTCACGCTATGTCGGGAATTGACAGAAGTTGGAAATTGTGAACAACTGGAAACCGACCGACCCAGTGGTTGAATGGTTAACGCGTTCGTCGTGAAACCCTAAGGTTCTGGGTTCGACCCCCAGCCTAGTTGTGATTGCATACTACTGAGGAGTCTCATCTTAGGATGAAACAGCTAGGTGTTCACTGCTTCCAGACTTTAACTGATGTCAGTCCATGATGAATACTACTTCTAAATAGGTGATTTGTCAGTGCATGAAAGACAACTTGGCATATTCGGATTCATCAATGTGGAAGCAAGTACATCAGGTGTACTATATGCTGGTGAACATTACTCCATTACCTCCACCATTGAACAACACCTGATAAACTCTGAACATCTGGTTACCTTGGCAACCTTGTTCAAAGTTCAATCAAAATGGAGAGTGAAGTGGTGAAGATTACACACTTGTATATTCATTTAATCCAATAGATAAATAAACACTTATGTCACCTTTTATAGGGATAATTATGATTTATGAAAAGAAAGAATACCAAAGAAAAAAATGAATTTCCATTGTAATAAAAAATAAATATATTCTGAACTGACAGCTTAACTTCATACACAAGACGCACAGACTACAACCTGAGACGAATAAAAATGAAGATGGGATAGTATATTCCTCTGAGTATATCAATCAATAAATTTGAAAACACGTGATTATTTATACACATGGGATGATATGATCTTGTCCGTAAACTGAGACAAGCAGTAAGGATTAACCAATCAGCGAATTACATGACAAATAGTAGCAGTCATACTGTGTGAAAATGATAAGTCAAAATGTTTTATGCAAAACTGAGGCTTTACAATATTAAAAAAAATAGGAGAAAGCATATACCTGGAAATAATATTCGACTTATCATCCCAGGAATCACCATTATAAATAATGGTAGTTGTTTAATAAGGCCAGCCATTAATGTGGCACCTTGTGCATGAGATAAACTTTTCGCTGCTAAAACACGTTGTACCATCATCTAATTGAATATTATCATAATGAAGAGAAAAAAAAAACAGAGATGAGTGATTTACATGATATATAATCAAAATTTGATTGAAGAGTATCGGAAATATTCAACACTGAGTAGAAAGCGCAGAGCTCGAAGCAGATTTCTGGGCGACACAAAGTTGGAATTATTTCATTTCGAACACACACACGCAAAACACATACAAACTATGTCTAATGTCATTATTATACTGTGGTTGGTTGTGGCTAGCAGAAGAATCCAGGAGGCGCATCTCGTCCTATCAGGGACTCATCAGCTAGATGCACCTGTACTCCACTGATGTTGTTCCCACTGGGACTCGAACCCCATACCCATCGCTTCAAACGCCAAGGTATCATCCATCCACTATGCCATAGAGGAACAACAGCGACTTCTTATACAACGGGTGATAGTTGTTACTATTTACTGGCATGCTTGTTATTCAAATGTGTGTATTGACACATACATAGGGCGAACTCATAGATGTATACATGTTAGGTAGGACCTCGTAGCATATTCCAAAGTGGCTTGGAAAGCAAATCAAATTGGTTGAACCTCAAAACATTGGTAGAAGACGTCATATTTCTTCGATCATCAAACATATCTTTGAAACAAGACACACAACTGATGTTTCTACCCCCTTTACACCTGTTTACAAAACACATTAGGGATGGATCAATAAATTTTGTCGGAACTTTAGCTAGTAAGAAATTTAACTCGTCTTCATATGTTCAAAAAGATTAAACTTTCGTTAGTGAATTCATCTGTGAAACCAAGTTTGATGTACGATTATCTTTGCTCTGTGGATTTTCTTTGTTATTTTGGCTTACCTTCCTATTACAACTGTTTTCATATTCTCATCCCTTATCCCGGAGGTCATCGGCCACGGTCTAGATTTTCATCTCACCTTCAATCATCTCACACCAGTATCATATTGTTTGAAATGTATTACGCGTAAAAATAAAACGATTCATGTGGAACAAGATCCGGATTTTCAACACCAACTCAGTTAAGTCAGTGCTCCTGTATGGTTCAGAGACTTGGTGCGTTAAGAATGGCATTTCCAACAAACTACAGACATTCACCAACAACTGCCGCCCACGCTCAATGGTGAAGATCAGATGGCCAGAAATGATAAGCAACAAGGAGCTCTGGGAACGAACCAACCAAGAACCTATCACGCAACAAATATGCAGGAGGAAGTGGAGATGGATTGGGCATACACTGAGAAAGCCGACTGGAGATAGCACGCGTTAGGCAGTCGCTCGAGTGGAACCCAGATGGGAAGCAACCAGTTGGGTGTCCGAGGCGAGGGTGACATGGAGGAGGTAGTGCGAGGAGGAAATGAGAGGTTGTGGGCTGTCGTGGAGCCAGGTTCAAAAGATTTCAGAGAACAGAGTTCACTGGAGACTTGTTACTGAAGCCCTATGTTCCATTAGGAACCCATGGGACAAATAATAATAAAGTAGGCTGTATTATTAAAAAATCCAGTCAGCAGTTGAACCTTTTTCGCTCAGTTGATAAACCGATAGGTTAGAAACCCAATAGTGGCTGGTTTGAATTCGTCTGCGGATCAACTTTTCATTTCACCTCTAATCCTTACCCATTAGCAGTAATACTAGTATGTCAAATTACTGCCATCTCAATTAGATAGTCAAGAAATTATATTGAATATGAGATACTCCTCCACTCTAATTCAAATACATTTGAATTGGGATGAGAAGTTCTGAGTAGGTAGCCAATGTGAGTATGATTAAGCGGTGGTAAGGCAACACGAATTCACATGGTAATCAGGAAAAAACACTTGGTAATTGAAGAGAAATAAAAATCTAATTGGCAGTTGAGCCTCGTAGGTCAGTTGGTAGAGCATCGGGCTGAGAATCTAGTGATTGCTAGTTTGAAATTCATTGCAGTTTAGATTTTTATTTCACCTTCAATCACTACCCAGTATCTATATATTGTGAACAGAGAAATGCGAAGACAAAGATTGTCTGAAACATACTTGATGTATTTAACGCCACATATTTCGAACAATCTGATCACATATGGACTTGTCAAACTATTTATGTGAAAATTTACAAAAAGGATCAATTTGAAGACTTTTTGGTATTTTATTTATTCCAGATTGGTATTCATTACAGGCTGACTGGGGCCGACCAAGTCGAATATGAGTACAAGTACTCAACAACAAGTACTCAATGACACCACTGAATGGAGTTCACGTTGATCGTGAATGGACAGAGATAGGAAATGTGAGTCGCTAGATTTTGACCCAGTAGCTTAATGGTAGGTAACCTACTGGACATGAAACCTGACGGTCCTGAGTTCAGTCCCCAGTAGGATCATAGTTGCGCACTGCTGAGGAGTCCCATACTAGGATGCAGCAGCTGTCCAGTGCTTCCAGGTTCCTAAATACCAATCCAAAATCTAAATCATATCACTCTTGGCATGAAAATTAAAACCAATACACTGCTAAGATAGCTTCAACGTAACTTCAAATTGTTTTCGTATGCACAAAGGGGGATTTGAATTTATGGATGACAAGATCTTCAATAAATTCAAACACTGTGTCTTGACCACTTTCATTTGGTCCATTAAAAAACTTCTGTCATGTCTACCTTTCAACTAGTTTCTAGTAAATGTTTACCAATAGATGAAGATGAATGTTTGTTACATGAACTTATCGCCTCTATCAAGATCATTTATTTTTGAAGCCACTTAGGTAGATCTTCAATCATCCTTAACTGTATATCATGTGAGTCGATGCACCTGTGTATGAGGTTCTACTCTGATCTTGTCAGTCAGTCAATCACTCTGTCTGTCTGTCTAGTCAGTCAGTCTGTCTGTCTATCTATCTGTCTGAATGAATGATTTAATACCTGTACTTATCAGTAAGCAGGATGACGTAATTCACCAACGTATTACTTAGTTTCACAAATATACAAGAAAGAGAGTAATAGCGCTTAGTAGTTAGACCACTAACTGATTGAGTCAATATCAAAAATGCAGCTAGGTCATATAACTTTTCTGAATCATTAGCACGAAATCGATAAATACTTAAGAAGTTATCTATCTATCTAAATCTAGTCACAAGGCTAATTCTCTTTTGACTTGTTGAGCCACCTTCCACCACTACCTTTCATACTAGAAGAAGTTGAAATAGGTTGGAAGAGGATTCACAATGGTAACATCAAGAACTGGGACCAGTTGATGAAGTCCTCTACTGTTGATCTGAGCCATTTTAGGTCCTCAATATGAAAGGAGTCAGTGGTTGGTGAAATGGCTGAACATCAACTGTTCATAATAGCACAGATGTCTTCACTTACCAACATCTTCTAAAACTTGAATATTCACAGTAACCATAGTCTTTAGATTGTTTATTCTCTCAGACTCCTTTTCTATTCACCTATTCATTGGTATACTATTGTGAATTATGGCATCTATATATAAAGGTCTATGCTGATTTATATTCATTCAATTGAAATAAATTATATATATAGTTATATACTACACTATCTCTAAGCAATCATTGATTAGTAGTAAAGTCTTTGTTTTAATTTACACATTCAAGTGTGAATATATAATAAGTACTTTGAAGAGTCCTTCTGTCGCCTTGACTTCCTTTTCTACAGAAACAGTCTTCACCTTGATGATGAATATAAGTCTCAGGAGTAAAAGATTTTCAGAGTCTACTTCACTATCCTTTCGTTGATTGGATCAAAATGATCGACCATCAATCACATATGAGCTCTTGTTCAAATGCTTGGATATTACTGGTATTTTTAACTTCATTCTAAGAATGGATACTGGTTATGAGAGGAATCCAGCTTGATCTGTGTCTCGTCCTGTCTGAGACTGGCTTGGTGGGAAAAATATCACCTATTGGTAAGAAAGCTGACGAGTAAATTCCAAAAAAGAATACCGACTGTTTCATTCTAGTACATGAATCGTCAGCAGTACGCATCCATGACTTCACTAGAGGTCGGACCCAGGACCTACAGCTTCCACGGCCAGAAAGTTACCCTTGTCTCACTGGGCTGTAATCTAATGATCTATACTTTCTACCTCTGTCAGTTCATGAAACATAGCGTAACCGTCATCTACAGCCATCGCTGAGTACCTGTTCTCCTATTCGACTTGGTTGGCTCCATTACAGACGGCTTCTCACTAGAACTTCGAGAATCACCTCTTAAACACTAAAACGGTTTACAGCTGAGCATATCACCAATGTACGTGGATGAATCCAGCTCAAAAAGGAGTATTATTCACATCGTATAGGAAACTCGCCTAACTGAATTCCGTATATTATTAAGAGCATAGGATGGTAGAATGGCAATTCTTCACCTCAACTTCATCCACTTTGAAAAGGCTTTCGATTGAGGCGTCGACTGAGAAGTAATTTGGCAGCTAATTCAAAACTACGGTTTTAGTGCCATAAATTTTTATCAATCTCATTCAACAGCTATATGCTATAGGATGCTACATGCCAAGCGATTCATAATGGAAAGCTCAGTCATGCCTATAAACTGAAGACTGGAGTAGGACAAGGTTGTCATCTATCACCAATGATCTCCCTGATTGTGGTCAACTCGAATGAATTGCATCATGCAACAAACCATGAGGAGCAAGAAAATGAGCATACGGTGTTTGACTGATGAAAGACCCTAGAAGATTCGGATTTCTCCCATAATGACTTATGTCTAATGTCTTGTCGGAGAAACCCGAAGATCTATAGGCAAAAACCAACAAGTTGACAGAAGAGGCAGAGCAGAGAAGACGGCACTTCCTTCAGGTAAACGTAGAGAAGACCGAGGTGATGAAGATGCCCAACCAACCAACCAACAACAACAACAAGCACCAATCACCACCAACGAGAGGAATGTTAAGGATGTTGTCTCTTTCGCCTACCTACATAGGCAGCATCGATTCAAATATAGGCAACACAGGCACAGATGAGGATGTAAAAGCCAGGGAGGATCGGAAAAACACCA